GTAACTTATATTATTATGTAGCTGATATTCTTAGCTACAAAGTTATAAAAAAACTGTTTGATAATTATAGTAAGATAACTTTATATATTAGAGTTCAGAGAATATAAAACTAGGCCATCTAAGAGTAAATTTTGTGTAGAACAATTTTGCTTAATAGTCTAAAGATTGTTTACTTAGTAGAATATTTAGTTATAACAAAATGTTTTTGAAAAGTTTTGGTATAAATGATCTATAGTAAGAGTTACTTGCAATATAATTATTATATTATATTGTAATTAATTAATACTATTACTATATATATTATATAAAATAAATTTCAAGTTAATATATGATTTAGATTTTTTTCAAAAAAAAAATAACCAGATTGCACTACATATTTTTTCTCAAATTCAGCAAATGCAAAAAATACTCCAAAATAGAATAGCCAATTCACTATTCACAAATAAAATAATTTCTTTTATAAAACAAAAACAATTAAATATCAACTACTATAGAGAAATTTTTAGAGAAACATTCAATTTGGCATATACAAAGTTTATAAAACATATTCAGTATCATAATGCATTACCACTTTTTAAAAGTATTCAATGTTTTAACCCTCAATTTATTTGCAATGATATTTCAAGACACAGTTTATCTTTTTATTTAGATATTCTCGAGCTTAAAAATCTATCAAATCAACTAATTAATGAATAGAATATATATTGTAATGCGGTAGAAAATTTTGATATTAATGTTGAATATAATTTAGAGCACTATTGGAAAGACAAATCATATGCTTTACCTATTCTTTCAACAATTGCATAAGTTAACATTTGGATTCCAGTAGCAGGAGTAGACGTTGAACGTTCATTTTCTAATTATAAGCATATTTTAGATTATAAACAAAGATCTTTCTGAAAAAAATATGGCTAGATTAAAATTTTTATATTTTAATGAATGTATTAATAATGATGATATAGCGGTGAATAAATAAATATAATAAAAATTACAGTGCTATTTTTGCTAAATTTACTAGCTATTTTGGCTAGTATCTTTGTTATTAATCACCAGTGGCTCTAAACCCAACTTCGATATGCATTTACTTTGCTCGTGAATAAGTCGAATAATTATCCCGAAATAATTAAATATATTAATATGGCTGCTGATAATGGGAATGAAACTGCCCTTTATAATTTGGGTACTATTTATATGAACGGATTATATGGAGAACCAATTGATAAAGAAAAGGCTAAATATTAGCTGCTTTGCAAATTATCCTAAAGCAATTGAGCTTTTAAATAAATTAAAGTTCAATAAAATATCTAAAAAGTTTATAGACATTTTAAATTTTTAACTTGAATTAGATTATAAAGATTATTAGCCAAATAGAAGTTTCATGTTATTTTTGTTACCACTTATGAAATCTCATTTGTCATTTCAGTTACAATTATTTAATAAATAAATAAATTTTTATTTATTTTATCTATATTTAACATATAAAAATATATAGGATAAACAAAAAAAATTTTTATGTCTTAAATAAGCTAAAGCTGAATCAATAATATATAATTTTTATACTCTTTATTCTAACTTTAAGTAATAAATTTCGATGGATCTCATTTTCCTGAAAATTAATGTTGGCCGATTCAAGGCTAGAATTGAGTCTAGAAATAGCTTTTGGTGAAACGGGTGAATCCATTGAATTTATATAAGAAAAATCAGATTGTCAAGATGAATTTACGTTGGTAATAAAATGGCAGCTAAGCTGGATAAAAATTTGTAGGTTTAGCCGGTGGTGCGCTTATTCATGAATTTAAATCATTCTGATGATTTAATTTTCTTTGTTCGCATATCGTTATCATTAATAATTTCATCTAGAGCCAAGAAAAATTGGAATTTAAAGTATATATTGATATGTATAAAATCTTAGATAAATAAATTTAACAAACCATCGTTATCTAAAGTTTTTAATACATTACAATAAAAATTTAAATCATTGTTCTTTTTTTTAAATGGAGAACAATCACTACAATTTTAAATGATTAAAATTAGACTTACCTTCTTTATTATGTCTTTTTTTGACAATAATATCTTTGTATTTATAGAATTTAGCTTATTATGTTACTACCAAAGACTAATCAAACCAATCAACATACCATTAGAATCAGTCGTGCTATTGGAGTGGATCACACTATCATTAATATCTATTAAAATTTAAATCAATATATAAATAATTGGTTAAAAATATTAAATTACAAGTCATAATTATGTATGCCCATACTTGAAATATTAGATAAACTAAGGCCATTTATTCTTGAATCTAAATATAAAATTATAACCATTATTTAAAAATGACAAATATTGGTTTTTAGAAACTTAGAAATTACCTCTACAAATAGACACATTAAATGATTCGTATGCCCGTTTAATCTCTCTTGTATTTATTAATTTGCTAGTATACGTTGATTTTTGGCTATTTGATAAAGGAATTTGCATCATCTTGACCATTTCATTTGCAAAAGCAAAGCTTCTTTTAATATCACATTTTTCATTGAGTTCTGGAGGATTCATCATAATTGTACGCCATTCTGAAAGTCTTGAAATAATATTTTCAACAGTAGGTCGTTTACGTTGATTAAAGTCCGTACATTGCTTAGATAATTCAATATAGCATTCTGGAGTTCCTTCAGCAAATTCTGGTCTCAAGCCTTTGCAAATCTCTAATGCAAGTATCCGATCAAATGGAATACCGCAGAAAGGCCTTTTTCCAGTTGATATTTCTGCCATAATAATACCCAGACTATAAATATCGGCTGCTGGTGTATAATGTTCACCTAATAAAATTTCTGGAGCGATATATGGCATGACTCCGCAAATATTACCATCTAAAGCCAATTCTTCTTGATTTCTAGATAATCCTAAATCCGTAATAATGGATTTCATAAAACCATTGTCAGATTGATTTAACAAAATATTCCCACTATGAAAATCACAATGAACATATCCTGCTTTATGAATCTGAGCCAA